GCCCACACTATCCAGAAACCAGCTCCAGAAGTGCCAACTCACCTTGAGGGACTACCAGGGGAAGGACATCTCGGTACTTGGCAAAGGCAAGTTCCTTGTTAATTTTAAGGCTTTCAAAGGCCATCTGCCTCTAGTGGTAGTTAACGGCAACCTCCCCAGTCTCCTGGGGCTTGATTGGTTCCCCTATCTCGGCCTTGAGGTAACAGGGGTCCATGCTGTCTCGGCCTCTGACACTGACTCCTTATTCACTGACTACTCCGACGTATTCAGCAATGAGTTAGGGTGTTATAACGGAACCCCCATCTCATTTTCAGTAGACCCCCAAGCAGTTCCCGTGCGGCTGAAGCCACGTAGGGTACCATTCGCCATTCGGCTTAAGCTGGACGCGGAACTAGACAAACTGTTAAAGCAAGGAGTCATTGAACCCACAGACTTCGCCAAATGGGAGACACCAATTGTCACTCCCCTTAAGAAGGATGGCAGTCTGAGAATTTGTTCTGATTACAAGACAACAATTAACCGTTTCCTACAAGTCAGTGCTTACCCAGTTCCGGTTATTCAGCATTTACTGCACACTTTTGAGCCTGGCACCATTTTTGCCAAATTGGACATGTCGCAAGCGTATCAACAGTTTCCTGTTGACAACCAAACAGCCGAATTACAAACAATTGTGACCCACAGGGGTGCATTCAGGTGCAGGCGTCTCCAATTTGGCGTAAGTGTTGCCCCAGGCATATTTCAGTCCCTGATGGAACGTATCCTACAGGGCCTCCCTGGCGTGGTACCCTACTTCGACGATATATTGGTCTCGGCCAGGGACAGACCCCAACTCTTCCAGAGAGTCAGAGCAGTGCTAGACAGGTTCAGACAGCATGGTCTCAAGTTAAAAAGGGAAAAATGTGCCATTGCCACTAGACAGGTGGACTTTCTAGGCTATAGAATTGACGCATCAGGCATCCATCCCCTAGAATCCAAAGTCAAGGCAATCCATGAGGCACCCACTCCAACCTCTAAAGCCGAGCTACAAGCCTTTTTGGGATTATTAAATTTCTATGCATCGTTTCTACCTCACAAAGCCTCAATAGCAGAGCCCTTACACAGGCTTTTAGATAAAAAATCACCATGGCACTGGGGACACAAGGAAGACACCGCATTTCATGCAGTCAAATCGCTACTCACATCAGACGCTGTCCTCATACAATTTGACCCACGACTTCCCTTAGTATTAAGCCACAGACTATCCAACGGCTCCGAGGCACCAATCGCCTTCTTCTCCAGAACACTCTCAGCAACAGAGCGTAATTACAGCCAAATTGATAAGGAGGCTTTAGCCGCAGTCGCAGCGGTAAAGAAATTTCATGAATTCCTTTTCGGCCACGACTTCGAACTCATCACAGACCATAAACCTCTCCTGGGTCTGCTTTCCGGAGACAAGCAGACCCCCCAAGTGTTGTCCCCCAGGATGACGAGATGGACCTTGTTCCTGGCGGCATACTCGTACAAACTCATCCACCGCCCAGGGAAAACTTTGAGCCACGCTGATGCCCTCAGCCGCTGCCCCCTGCCAGCTCCAGCTGAGGATCCAGCCCCTGTCCATGCCATCTTCGATGTCACCGAGATCAACCTTCCCGTCACCGCCCTCGACATCGCCACCAAATCTAAGGCTGACAGAACAATCGCCCAGGTACTGGACTGGGTGAGGAGGGGGTGGCCGGGCACTAACCTTGAAACCGAATTCACACCTTTTAAGACCCGTCAACAGGAACTATCTAGCTTACAGGGCTGCCTGTTGTGGGGCACCAGAGTCGTTATCCCGGCCGCACTGCGCACGCCAGTCCTAGAGGCACTGCATGAGGGACACCCGGGCATCGTCCGGATGAAGGCGTTAGCTCGAAGTTACGTCTGGTGGCTCGGCCTGGACGACGACATCGTCAAGTGGGTAAGCTCTTGCCAGCCCTGTCAGGAATCCAGACCAGCCCCTCCAGTCACCACTCCCACCAAGTGGGAGAGCGCCAGTGCACCATGGTCTAGGCTTCACATCGACCTAGCCGGGCCAATGCAAGGTAGAACCTTCTTGGTGGTTGTAGATTCATACTCCAAGTGGATCGATGTGGCCCAACTATCCACCACCACCACGCAAGGAGTTACTAAGGCCTTGACCCAGCTATTCGTGACACACGGTCTACCGGACACTATAGTCTCGGACAATGGCCCCCAGTTTGCCTCAACGGAATTCAGCCGCTTCGCCACCAACCTTGGCATTCGACACATCCTCACGGCACCTTTCCACCCTGCCAGCAACGGATTGGCAGAGAGAGCCGTTAGGTCCACGAAGGAAGCGCTAGCCAGATTCAACAAAGAGGACTGGCATCACAGACTCTCCCGCTTCTTACTGAGCCAACACTCAACCCCATGCACGGTCACCAACAAGTCACCGGCTGAACTCCTGATGGGTAGGCGCCTAAGAACTGTGTTGGATAGGCTACACCCTCACTATTGCCCTGACACCCCTCTTGGTTCAATGGCAGGGGTCAGAGATTTTGTCTTGCAGGGACGTGTCTTTGCAAGGAACTACGCCGGAGACCCACTGTGGATACCAGGGGAGATCGCGGCCATCACCGGTCCCAGGTCGTACTGAGTCCAGCTGGAAGACGGCCGCATCTGGAGAAGGCACCTGGACCAACTCAGGAAGCGCCAAGGTACCCCCGCCAGTGTTGGGCCATGGGCACAGGTCAGCTCCCAGGTACCACACCAGACCCTCATCGGAGACCATCCCAGGGGTTTGTCACCTTCACCACCCGAGCCGGGAGAACGGGCTACAGACCGAGACTGCCCGGTGGATCCGCCACCCGTGCCACCTAATGGAACCACGGCATCGCAGACCGGAAGCTCGACACCGGCACCAACACAGGCCCCCGAGCAAGACCACACTCCATCACCAACCCTACCCGCGTCTTCGAACTCTGGGTCACCCGGTAGCTCGCCCGGGTTACGGCGCTCGGGACGCCAGCACAGACCACCCGCTTATTTAAATGACTATGCGTGTTCGCATCTGGGGGGAAGGGGTGTTATGTCCCTGGAACTTACCAAAGTTCCCAACCAGGTCCGTTCTTACTGTAGGGGCGTTGACTGCTCCTCATTGGCTGACTCACCTCAGCAGCCGGCTATAAAAACCAGCTGCAGGGTCAGGTCAGCCGCTGTTCATTGGAAGCCTGCTCCCAGCAGCGCTGACATGTTCAGTCCTTTATTCATTGAATAAAGTCTTGTTGCTTTAATGCCCTGGTCTAGCCTCTCATTATTCAATCCACAACACCATGAAGTTATGGGCTACATGCCAGCGTTCACCAAAACCTGACAAGAACTATTTTTCCTGTTCAAGTTACCAAAGAATGAAAGAAGCAAATACAAGAAATATGCAAACCTGCACCTCTCCCCCAAAGCTTAAAATGGATTCTCACCATCCATATCAGCATGTGATCTATCAATTTCAGAACTGTGATTGGTGGTGACATGAAAGAGAGAGCAACTTGCAAATGTGATAGGAACATGGCAGCTGCACAGTTCAGCCATCTTCCTATTGCTTCAGGAGACAGTTGTATGCACAGCAAAAGCTCATTTTCAAGGCACAAGGGCTGAGGATATTTGCAAATTCAGGCTCCAAAATGAGAGCACTATCGATGATCAAATGACATCATCTTTTGTTTTGGTGAACAAGAAATGTTTTGAATTATAAATACACATCTAAAGAATTGTTTCTTTTTTGTGTGGGAGGGGTGTGTGTGTGTGAGGGGGAATATTCTAGCAGCCATGTTAAGCATTTTTCAAATTTTTGACACATCAAGCCTAAAAGATTCGCTGTCACTGGTCCAGATCAAAATTTCTCAACCTTGGAATTTTAAGATATATGGACTTCCACTCTCAAAATTCCCCAAACAGCATGTGTTGGTCCACATACATCTTAAAGTTGTTCGGGTTGAGAAAAATTGCCCTAGATATTGGCCTAACTTGAAAAGGTAACTGGTTTTAGGCAGTTGTTTTCTAGGAGAGGAGATGGAAGCTACCCGACAATGCCAACCCCATCTCATACATTTTTTTTTGATCTTCACTACATTAGCATATGGCCTGACAGTAGTTAATAAGTCTAATTTCTCCTGGGTGTAAGTAAGGCCCATTTTTTCCTAACATCAATGTGTCTTTCATTGTGCAGAAATATGATTTAGTTAGTTATGAAAAAAAAATAACGTACAGCAAAGAGATATTTTTAATTAAAAAAAACCCCAAGTTGTAGAAAGCAAATAGTACGATCAGAGCTACGGTAACAGAAGAATGGTAATTGCAAAATAGCAACGAATATTGGATGTGAATTCAAATATGCACCCTGGTGCCAGCCTGTCTTTTTTTAAATAGAACTTTAGAGCTAAAAACCTGAATCAATCAATAGAAGAATGGCTGTATCAATTGCAAATATTATTAATTAGAATTTTGTGTTAAAGTATGGAAGTATATGTTTCATGTTAGAGCATGTAAATCCTAGCGGTATGAAGATTCCCTCCCCAAATTGGAGATTTCCCCCTCTTTCTCTTTCCTTTCCTTTCCTCTCCCCTCCCCCTCTCTCCCCTCCCCTCCCACTAAGTCTGAACAGTGACCCAAAAGAAATAAAAAAATATTGTTAAAAAAAGGAAAAACAAACTCTGGATTTTTTCCTGGAGTTTTTTTCCCTTCTGTTCTGTTCCGCCCACCTCCCATGACTGTATTTGGGAAAGAGAGCAAAAAGGCTGGAGAGGGGGAGGGGGAGGAGGAGAGAAGGGGAAGGAAGGAATGGTGTGTGTGTGTGTGTGTGTGTGTGTGTGTGTTTGTGTGTTTGGAATAAAACAGAATACACAAGTTGAGAGACAGCCATCTTTACCTTGTCCTCCACCCAGCAACCAGCTTTACCTTGTGCCCTTGCTGGATTTCCGAAATTACTTCTGTAACTTTTTTTGTGGATCTTGTTTCTGAAGCATTTGCAAGAAGTCTTGGAGTTGTCCGAAATGACTGACCAGGAGGTTGCCCAGGAGGTGGTATTGACCGAAGTGAAGGAACCAGATGGCAAGGAGAAGCTGGATGAAGAGACCAAGAAGGAAGAAGTTGAAGAACAGGTTGTGCAGCCCACCCAGCCAGGGCTAGCATCTACAGCAGCCCCATCGGAGGAAGAGGATAGTTTCACTTATGTGTGTGAGTAATGCTTAGCAGTGAGGCCACCTCCCTTGTCTAAGACGACATCCTTTCTTTCAAAGGGAATATTTAGTGCATTTTGTCCCAGAGGATGCAACAGGTTTCTCTCCTGCTTTTGAAAGATGATGGCATATGTTAATGAAATATAAATCCTATACACTGTGGCACTGAAATGGAACTTCCATGTTTAAGAGCAGAATGATTTCCGTTATTTTACATGTGAAGCAGAAAGGGCAGTTGCCAGGCAACAAAAACAGTGCCCATTCAGAAATAAGAGAACATTATCAGTACATTTGGGGTACTCTGAGATTTGAAGAATTACAGGAAACTTTGATTCTCCAAAATACAGGTCTCAAGATGGCTTGATTGAACCATGCTTGAGGCTTATAGAAACTTGGTTAACTATCAAAGATAGAAATATAAAACGAGGAGGGAAATGAAAGATAATGGGAATAATGAGGCCTAGTTTATGCTGTACCATTGCATTGCAGTCGCAAGTACCATTCACTGTAGCTTGTCGGCTTTATATACAGGTTGTCCTAAACTTATGACCACAATTAGATCCAAAATTTCTGTTGCTAAGAAGATAATAGTTAAGTAAGTCAAACCCATTTTATGATGTTTTTTACAAAGTTGTTAAATGAATCACTGCAGTTATTAAGTTTGCCATGCAGTTAGTAAGCAAAATCCAGCTTTCCCTCTTGAAGCAAGTTGGAAAGGCCTCAAATGGTGAACACCTGAGCCCAGGATACTGCCAAGCACCCATATTTTTGTCATGTAATCCTGGGGATGTTGCAAGGGATGTAAATGCCAGGACAGGTCATATGACACTTTGTTCAATGCCACTGTAATTACAAATGGTTGTAAATTGAGGACTACCTGTAATCCAGCAAAGTTTCACCTTCAGAGTCAACATGGAACATTGATAAAGGCAGAAATCACCATGAATCAGTATTCTTATTAGTCAGCCAATCAGAGAATGCAACAATCATGATTCAAACAGTGCTGTGCTTCCTGAGTTAGTATAGTTGCTGATGCAATAATTTCTCCTTAGTCCTGCAACACAAAGAAATCAAGGGATTGAGGAATGGGCTATTGTATTTTTTTAAAAAGAAAAGTACACCTTAATTGTTGGTATAATAAAAAGCTGCCTGAGTATCAAGAAATTATCGCTGGAAACAGTGCTCATTGACGGTTGCATGTTTTGCAACCAAATGCTTTCCTTGGTGGTTATAGCCATAGATATGGATTTGACTATTGTATATGGTAGTTTGAATGGTGGGCTGCAGAATATTTCATTTGATCTCAGAGATGGGAAATAGGATGAGTCAAGAGTTTGATAACCATTGTTTATATACCTGAACATTTTGTGTACAGCTTGTAAAACTGGTTCAAAGATTGGAGACTGGATTTGTTAATACTCTAAAAGTCCCTGTTGATATTTATTGGAGCAAAATGAAAAAGTACAGGTGAGAGATTACAGATGACTCACTAGCAGGGGTGTCTGCAGAGGGCAGGCAAAAAAGTCAAGCAACAGCTGCAACCATATGATTAAGTCCCACCCCTTCTTTAACTTTACCTTTGACCTTTTTATCCCTTCCTCTTGTTCCTGCGCCATCACCATCCCTTCTATGGCACCCCAAACTCTTTCAGCATAGGTAAGTCTAAATACGTGCACCTTATTTGTTGCAACTTTTTGGGTCAGGGAAATCCATGGGGCAAATTATTCTTCAAATGTTGTGGTTGTTAAAATACCCAATTTAATTTTAAAAGTTTTGAAATCCTCTCCCAGAAGAGAACCTGGCCACATCTAATTTTGGAATTTGATCCACATCCCTTAAGTTAACAGAAGTTGTAGACTGGAGAGGCTCAAGATTGGAGGTGACTGGTAAGATCAGGCCACACTTGCTATAAATCAGAATATGGCTCGCTCCCGAGCCCTGCAGAGCTCCAGCATTGCCAATCATAAGAAGGTTATTAGAAGAAAACCAGCATGGCTGCCAGAGCGAGGTGGCGTTGTGGAAACATAGCAAAGTTGCCAAGTTGGTGCAAAGGCAGACTGATGGGTCTTCAGAACAATCTCATTCCTGATTGGTGTGGACTTTGACTGTAATGGCTCCTCTCAACCTTGGCAAGACTACAGTATTGCAGGATGGAAGTACAGCAGTTGCCCTTCTGTCTGAAACATCTGGATAGCATCATGTTGGGAAATGCAGTTCTATAATTGCTTAACTTCAATGTGAGCTTTTTCTTTTTATTAAATAGGAGATTGTACAGTATTATTTATTTAAGCATCCTCTGCAGAATCACTGGATTTATTCCAAAGAGAGCTGGCTTTGCATCTCAGCTGAACCATGAACTGATGTGAGAACTGCTACTATGCCTTCCCTTAGCAGCTATTATGAGTAACTAAACACATCTACTTTCTCAAGCTTCTCCTTGCATTTGTCTTATGTTTCCAAATGATGAATTGATATTTTTCAAAACCACCACTTTCTGGTTTCTTCCTTGTGCTCAGGCATATGTGATAATAACATTTTGTTCAAATCAGGGATTGCATAGATCTTGAATTCTTGGTTTTGCCTTGGAAGCAATAGTAAATCTACAATCATTCCTTCTTTCACTTTACAAAAAACCCTGAGCTTTGGGCCATTTATTGCCAAATGAGCCTGCACCTCTCTAGGTTCAAAATCACAACAGTAGTCAAGAGTTTTGATATCTCTCTAGGAATAAGATTTGCTTGTTTCAAGGAACCAGCAAAAGATGCCTGCAATGATTAATGAGAAAGGCAGGAGTGTGATAGTATTCCATTATCTTTTTTCCTCGCCATTTGAACAGAGTGTGCACTGAAACCCTTTTGTTTCAGACATGCTGCCATGCTGGTGTTTCTTTTTTTAGAAATGCAATTGCAACTTGGTTGGCAGCATGCAGAAGAACAACACAGCATCTTCTGTATTTTTAATGCAATCAAGCAGCACACATCAATATATAGTATGGCAATGGCTGTAATTCCTGAGAGACACTTGAAAGTTGAGTGTACTTCATTCTTGTTAGGACAAACATGCTAGGAATCAGGAGAAACAGAAGGTCATGTTGCTGTTTCAGATTCCTCTAAAAACATTTCCAGTAACTGATGTCTATCTGTCCTGCTCTGCTGGGTTGTTGATTTTAAATACGGCGGAGCATAGTACAGCATTGTAGTTTCAGGATATTATTGCCATATCATTTTGCTTTCTTTTAAACACACTGGCAAATTAGTTTCAATTATACAAAGGCATTTGTTTCAAAATAAAATATATGGATAACATACCACAAATCACACCTGCAAAGAAAGTGTGAGATTAAGTTGCCATTTCAGAGTTTTTCCTGAACTACAATAAATTGGGTGAAAATCAACAGAGTAATAGAGAAGATTAGAAGCTGGACTGATAACCTACAACTTTATTAAGACAGGGACCACCCACTTCCATATGGTTATCAAGAAAACTGAATCTATCCATGGCATTAAATATAAGTTGAGGGAGATCTGACTTTATTTTAAGGGCAATTATGCATAGCTGTGTTGCTATATTGCTACACAAAGCAAGTACTTGCAAGTACCACACTGATACACAAAACAAGTACAAAAGGGAAAATATTTTTTTAAAAGAGTATAATATCATGTATCATGAATTCTTTCTGTAATGTAGACAGAACAGTTGTCATGAAGCAAGTCTATATAAAGATTCGTGAAAGGCATGTTTACCTGGACAAGAGACGATTAAGAGTCAACATTAAGAGGCTACATGATAGCAGTCTTCAACTGTCCTAACGATTGTTCTGTAGAAGATGAAACATATGTACTACATCCAGTATTGCTCAAGTTTGGCAATTTTAAGCTGTGTGGACTTCAAATACCAGAATTTCCCAGCCAGTGGTGAAATAACAAGAAATACTGGCTGGTGTATTCTGGGAGTTTGAGCAAAGCTTGAGAAACTGCTCTGGATAGTAGGGCAAAAACAAATGGTAGAAATGGTAAATAAAAAAGCAAATTTCAATTAAACTCCAGAAAACCTTTCTTAATAATAATGCTGCTTGAAACAATTCATCAGCAGGTAATGAATCTCCATACCTAAGATAAGAAAAGTAGTTGAGCTGAGCTGAGATGAATGGAGTTAAATTGAGTAACCGGTTCAGAGCAACCATCTTTTTCTGACACTGCAGACGCAACATCATGGTCTTGAACAAAGGTTGGACTGGATATCCTCAAAGACCCCTTCTGACTCTAAACATCTGTGAAATAATCCCAGAGTGATAGAATAAAAGTGCAAGTTCCTGTGCTTGTAGATGAGCTTGAAGAAGAGATATCTGTCGGTGCTCACTTCAGCAAAAGTAGGGATGAGGCTCTCTTGCTCAGTAGATGAACAACTCATACAGATGCCATCCACTATCTGATCCATGGCAGTTCTAGATGTCTTTAACGTCTGCCTGCTGTCTCAATTCAGCCTGCAACATAAAGTGATGTACTTTATCTAAATTACAGGCATTTTCTACGTTTCTGTTTTGTAATTCAAATGTTTTATTATGTTTGAATGCTATTCGCACCCCAAGGAATTCTACAAGCCCCAAGATCCTAGACTGGCTGTGGCTAATACACTCAGATCTTCCAGCTGGGCATGATCTCAGACATCATAGGCTAAAAGTGCAAATGGTTTGACAAGGTACATGTTCAAAAGACAGAACTCTCCTCATTATAATAATATATTGGAAGGCAAAACCCAGAAGGCTGTTTCTGTCAGCATGGATTGTCAATGGAGAACAGGTGCTTAATTTTTTCCCCACCACAAGCTTTCATCTTCTCCCCAAACTCCTTTTCCCATCAGTGGTTCCAACTCTTAAAACGTATGTTTACAGTATAGCCTCCACAGGGTTTATAAAAGCCATGAGAAAAAGCTGTAGATAAAAGCAATTGATGCCAATAAGCAGGGATGATTTTACCAATCTAACTCCCTTTTTCCAGC